ATAGAACTAGCAATAGTTAGAGACACCCAGGGCTCACCCCCTGGCGGCCTTTGCCCTGATCAGGGATAGTGGAAAACGTGCAAGTCACGAGCCACGGCCGTAAAATATACACACACACACACACACCTCTCTCCCTTCCTTTCCCCATGTTTAGTATTCTCGTGTACGGCTACCTAGATAGTGATATAATGGAATGTCATGATATCTAGCCTGAGCAATCATCACAGAACGCATTGGCCCAGAGAAAAAGAAGAACTATCTTCTCTGGACAGAGATGGTGAATGATGAATTCGTTACGTGGTGGTTAAAGACCGAGTTTGGAAGTCAGTTGAAACAGAATATCTTTAAGAATAAGCGCCAGGCAGAGTGTTGGAAGCATTTTTACCAGGTCGCCTCTATCCAAGATGGGTCTCCGAAGGTTATGTGTAAAATATGCGGCCAAATCCTCAATCATCCAGCAAACAGCCATTATGGAACATCCTCTATGAACAAACACTTGCAAGGGGTTAACTGTCAGAGGGTAGCGCCTCATTCGCAAGATATCAGAAGGCTCATACAAGAAGGGGTATATTAATATATTCATCCCTACAGATTCATTTTATCTCTACTAAGTTCTAGTTATCTTAGGCACATCTAGCCTCTCAAAAACCTACCTTTACTCCACAAGCTTAGATGGAGAGGGTAATTATATTCATTACTGCCTTACGCCTGCCATTTCAACTTGTTGAGCACCCTCAGTTTAGTGCCCTTATTGAGATGGCCCGGCTTGCGCCATCCTTACCCGAAATCCCTTCCGCATATATGGTCCGATGTCACCTTTAAGAGATGGTTGAAGAACAACAGCAGAATCTTCTTTGCAAGCTTCCTACAGGCGCTAAGCTCTCTATTGCATTAGATTACTGGACCTTACCCTTTCGCCAGGCTTTTATGGCTGTCACAGGCTACTTTATTGATGAGATTGGAACCATCATGAGATCTTGCTTGGCTTTGAACCACTTCATGGCACATATACAGGAGTCAATCTGAGCTCAGTTCTCCTTAACCTACTTCGAAAGCATGGGATTAAGGACTGGGTCTTGACTGTTACCACTGACAATGCATCTAATAACTCTACGTTGGTAGAGAGCATCCAGGACTCTCTTCAGTTGCTTAAGCTACCAAACCAGACGCCAATCATTCGTATACCATGTATGGCACACGTTATTCAACTTAGTTTGAAAGAGCTTCTTGGTAGGATGGAAGCGAACCCAAGGAATGAGAGAGAAGAGATGGAATGGACTGAGGAAGAGAATGGGGCTCGGCAAGAGAATCAAAAAATCATATATACTCTTAATAAGGTAAGCTACCCTCTTTGATATTGCCTCAGTTCATACTCATAATATATTAGGTTCGGCAGCTCGCGGTCTACATCAACAAAAGCCCCTAACGCTGAGAGGCCTTCTAGAACCTTTAGATAACAGAACCAAAGCTTGTACTAATACAAGATGTTAAGACCTGCTGGAATTCAACATATCTGATGCTCCGGCGCGCCAAATGGCTATAATCTGTTTTTAATGGGTTCTGCGCGCAGTACAGTCGCCATGATCTACAGCCAAGCCAGGAGGAATGGTGGCAGATTAATTATCTTCTTGCAATCACTCAGCCATTCTTTACATTCACAACCACCCTCTTGAAGACCAAGGATATCACTATTAATACCATCTTTGGTATCTACAACAAACTTTTCAGTCATCTAGAAAGATCTATGGCGCAGCTTGCGCAAAAGAAGGTTAACTAGAAGGCAGTGATGCTATCTGCCCTGAAGCAAGCCAAGTTGAAGCTATCAGAGTATTATAGCATGACTGATGATATCCATGATGATCTGTATGTAATTGGTATAATCCTGGCGCTATAAAACAAGCTTCACTTCTTTTCTACTAAGGAGTGGGAGCCATGCTGGCGTGTATGATACCGCAAGAGCCTTGAGGATTACCTTGTGCCCTACTAACAGCGATATTCAGATACACAGCCCATATCCAATGGCCACTCTTCGGCAGATCAGATCTCTGATATCGATATGCTTATCACATCAGCTACATCCTTTCAGCCACAGACGAACGCCCACAGCGAGCTTACGCGGTATCTTGGAAGCAGTATGCTATCCTCTCTGATCTCTCACGTCTCTCTTACTTATCTTATTTCTAGGCACTCATCTGATCAATCCGCGGCTTTTCTGGAAGGACCAACAGCATGAATATCCTATCCTTGCAAGCCTAGCATGAGATATTCTTATGACTCCTGCTACTGGTTCTGGTGTTGAACGACTATTCAACTTGGCTCGTGACATATGTCACTACCGTCGAGGCTCCCTGAAGCCCAACATAATTAAGGATCTTATGATGTCTATGTGTACATCAAGATTTAACATTAAATCAGAGCAGCTAACCTTTATTAATGAATATCTCATAGCCCAGGAGATTCAAGCAGCAAGAGAAGAATAAGATGCTTATAAGGCAGTGGATGAATTCGATCTAATTAGTGATAACAAAGAAGATGCCCCAGCAGCTATATCTCCACTGATACAGCCGCCCAGTGAGCATGCGCTTGGTAAAAGACCAAGGACTAAAGCCACAGAGGACCAGGGGCCACTGATTGAACTGGATAATGAGGATTATCAGGATGAAATCCCTCTGCCTGATAACAACGACCTGCATGGCGAAAGTAGTACTCAGAGGCGAACATCAGGGCGGGTTCTAAAGCGTTCAAAGCGAGATAAAGATCAATTTGTGTATCATAAGCCATAAAAATAGTAGAATTTAAAATGTGAAAGCTCCCATCTGATTCTATACTAAAATCATTTTAATCTGACCTTTTCGCCTAAACTATAAACTAAATACTCAAAAATACAGATGAAAACTGCACAAAATATGCATATCACGAGATCTCCTATATTTGCACTGTTTGTGGAACCTGAGGTTCAAGTCGAGCCTGTCAGGTTCGACTCTAAGAATCCTGGAGTCGGATCGCGACTTCCAGATCTTAGAACCTGAACCTGAGTCTTGGCGGTTCCGAGTCGAATCGAACCTGACGAGTCGCGACTCCTTACGAGGTCTAGTTTGGGGGGCGTTTTCATATGATAAGAAGGGTCCTCTACATGTCTGGGCTCCAGAAACAGCTCAACAGAAGAAGCTTGCTCAGCAAGAGATTGATCTTTTGAATCAAGAGCTTGAGCCTATACGAAAAGCAGAGTGGGAGCTTAATGTTGGTATGGTGCGTATGAAACTTCGAAATGGAAGAACTCCAGGCCGTATGCCTACCTGGAAGTGGAATAAGAAGAATGGCTTTCTCTATCGGGATTCTAAAGGAGGGATTGACTGGTACAGATACTATAAGGTAAGTATTCTACTTCTCTATAGTTTTTACTAAGAAATTGAGAACTAATGGCTTCTTCTACTGCCAGGAGGTTCTCGTCCCAAAGCTGATCCCTTTTGCTCAAGAATGTGCAATTGAACGGCCTAACACAATCATCCTTGAAGATCAAGCTCCGGCTCACCGTCACCACTTCCAACAGACTATATACAATCTTTATAGTGTCCAAAAGATGATGGATTGGCCAGGCAACTCTCCTGATCTTAATGCCATTGAGCCATGCTGGCCCTGGCTTAAACGGCGTACAACTTCTCGAGGAGCACCCCGCGATAAGAAGAAGGGAAGCAAGCATAAATAAAGGCATGGGAAGAGCTTCCCCAGGAGCATATTCAGCAGTGGATTGAGCGCCTTATCCGTCATATCCAGATTGTAATTGAGCTAGAAGGGGGGAATGAGTATAAGGAAGGGCGTACGGGTAAAGATAATCGTGATTGGAAAGGCTATCGGCTCAAGGGTCAGTTCTCTAGGAGACAAGATATCAGTGATCTCACCTAACTGCTGAGATTCCCCAGTGCCGTCTTTGCCAAAACCGACCCCACGGGCTTGCTGCTGACGACTCGATCATGGGTTCCAGATCCAAGGATCAACCAAACCGACGCAGACATCACCATGATGATGCTGAATCAGAACGGTGTCATGTATCTGCAACCCAGCTATGATCCTTGGATCACAGCTGATGTTGAAAATAACCTCAGCGTGGAAAACACGACATACAGTGGGACACTGTGGTCGAAGAGCTATGAGGCGAACCTCCTGGTATGTGTGGACCAGTATCAAGTATGCAACCCTAGCAGACCTGGTGATTCCGGCTGCACCAAGCTTGGTGGCCAGATGAGTACGTTCCTGTCTGCTTTTAAGACTGCTGGTGCAACGCTGGGGTTCAATATGCCCCAGCTTACAACCGTCTCACGGTTTCTCTCTGCAAACACTGACCGGAGTATGTATTCCAATGTGAATGGACGAGGAGGTGCTGCTTTGAACGGTAAGTGAACCATAGACGATTCTATTTGCTGCCTTCCCAAGCTAATAAACCCTCTCCTTGTCTCAGCGTCAATGATGGCCTACATGAATCTTAATTCATATCTTCCACCGAACCAATGGCAAATTGAGGTGTCAACGTGGTTTGCCACATCCTTGGCTAAGGAGCAAGCCTGGGCCTTCGAATGGGCCACTGCACCAAAAAATCTCCCTCCCAACTCGCTTGGTCATGGGTGGAATGTCACTGCCCCTATTAATGAGGTTGCGCGTTCTGCATGCCGGAACCAACTCATGAACAATGCCTCAGGATACGAAAACTTTTCGATTCTCGGACTGGCTCTCACACTCATCATTTGCAGCGTCATCGTGATTATTGGGCTCACAGTGGATACGGTAGTGGGCTGGCTGCGACGTGGAAAGACCAAGTACAAGCGGGACCAGTGGGCAGTAGAGGAGACATTGGCCCTGCATAAGGCAGCGTATACAAACCTGGGGCTTTGGCGAGACAATGGAGAGGAAATGCCACCAAGTTCAATCCTTCTGAACCGCTCAGCCCCGTCTGTCCCGCTTGGGGCTGAGCTGGACACAGAAGGTGTTGGCACGGGAATGAAGCATGGGTATGCTGTTGTTGGGCATGAAGTTCAATGATACAGGAATCATCCCGAACTCTTGTCTCTGCAACGGACAGACTAGGCACTGGGATGAGTCCCTTCAAGGGAATTCAACATGACCAAGATCAGAATCGACGGTATCAGGCAACTAGCTGACCTGTTCTAGCTGGGTTGCGGGGAGGACGAGCTGTTTAGCAATCATTTCCGATTAGATCTGCCCCCTAAGAGATATAGACATGATCCTCACAAAATAATACAAGGTCTTGTGCGCTGCCTTGTGCACTTCCCAGCAATAGACACATCTCTGGGCAGTTCAAGTCTTCTCTTGGGTGGATGAAGCATGGCATCCACCATGGCGTCCAACAACTCACTCACACCAGTACCTGTGGTAGCCGAACATTCAAAGTACCCATGGAGGCCCCATTCAGCTACAAGCTGCGTAATATATTGATGCCACCGGGCATTCTTCCTTCGAGATGGATCCGCAGCATCGCCCCCCAGCAAATCACTTCGACACCCAACCAGAAATACCGTGGGGTTCTTTCGTGATTTGGACTGCCCATCAACGATCTCCATGCATGCTATCATATCACTTATCCTCATCTCCAGTGGATTCCCTAAATCCAAGTCTTGTGCCATTATGTCGAGAGGGAAACAGATCAGAGCAATATCAACACAAGCCTTCATTATGCTCTGGTACACCCACGGAACAGCACCATGGTCCTGTGCATTCTTGGAATCCTCCCAAAGTTCAAATTTCTTGGCATATCTGGGATCCTTTGAGTTTGTTGCAATGTCATATATCGTATTTTCAAGCGTAACAGAGGTAGTGCCGTTGACGCGATCCTCTATTAGTTTAATCAACACGGATAGAAGACGAGACTTTCCCCCGCAGTCTACCCCACCCACCACAACTTTCATCCTCCGAGGTGGGATGCCTTCATTTTCATATATTAGAGCCTGAGCTGGTAAGGAGGGAGGGTCGATGGTGAGTACCTAATGCCATCTTGGTTTCTCGAGTAATGCTGGAGCCCAGTGCTGCAATGGCGTCCATGTCTCTTCAACGGCGAGTGAGCTGGGGAATTGTCCTGCTGAGAAGGGCGATCTCAGCTCTTATATATTTTTAGGTCCATCTCGTATTCTGTTGAATGCACTCAAACCACTAAGCTAAAAAGGTGTCAAGACAACCATTTCTAGCTAGTAGAAATGATAGTGCAGAGCATGTTCAACACAACCCCCCAGCTTCAACAGGTGATGTTGGTATGGTAAATGAATCTGGCCGCTGGTATATTATTGGCTGTTTGAAGGTGAATACACCATAAACCCTCACTGTGATCGACTATATTGGGTACACATTGATAGAAATGTCCAGGATCTTTACAAATGAAATGGATATCATGTGATGGGGTCTGAGATTGAAGCAGCTGTGTTATTGCACCCACAAGTTCTTGCAGCAGCAGTCATTGCTGTGAAACTGTACGGGTTATCATTTTCAAATCAGAGCTTTCTACAAATAGCAAGTTCATACTAACTTGGATACAGCCCTGGAGCAGTGGATGATGAACCTGTTCCGCAGGCTTATCTTGTTCGATGACCAGGATCCACTCTGGCACCTGACGAATTCATGGCGTGGGCTCTCGCTACACTGCCTGAGAGGTTTCAACTCGACGGCGGTTTTGAGTTTTTGGATGCTCTTCCTGAGTCAATGATGTGTCAGCTGTGTAATGCTTATAGCTCAGAGCTAATATATCAACAGGCCGGAAAGGTAGATTACAGTGCTTTACGCCAGAGAAGCATAAACGAAATTCAACCTATCGGGACAAAAGTTTGCTCGTTTGAAAATGCATTTACGCAGCGACGAGTTTAAGTTGGTGGGGATAGAGGGTGAGACGCAAAGCCGTGGCTCATAAGCTGGGACGGCCGAGGGCAAGGCTCTAAATCCCTGAAGAGATTCATAAATCCTCATTTTACAAATCATTCATTCATCTGCTTATTCTTTCCCCAACTGTTAGAGATACAGGGCGTTGAATTACAATGTTCTAGGGAGGTGAGGACAGAGAGATAGAACAATAATAGTCAGGTTCCAGCAGCTCATTATCATCTTCTGGTTATGTCTATATATTCACCACTGTGGCTTTATCCAAGTCGTAATCTACTAGAATGTGGCACTAACACAAAAGTAGCCTGCGGCGGGATGTCACTGTAATACACCTGTTGTATATTGATCATAAACCATGGCTTTACTATGAGGTACTATAAAGAATTCTAGTATTGCATATAGTAAGTTCCAAAGGCGTTCAGTCATTTGTGGCTCTTCTTGTGACCTCTTGAATGCGGAACGGACCCGGCTCAAGCACATTAGAAGTGAGGAATGCTGCTGTTGTCAGCACTCTGGGCGAGGAGTTTGAATAGCATTGGAAGCCGCTTGTCCTCTATCATGGTCGTAGAATTGTATGTAGAGTTGTACACCGTGCTTTTGCCGAAGACCTGGACTTCGTCTCTCTTTGAGTACCCGGGGTAAACAGGCGGGATCACGCAGGCAGTATGCGCGGTCTCAAGGTTCCCATTAAACGCCGAGACGCAGAACTCGAAGTTCCACGTCCCAGGGAATAGGAACCCCACACCGTACGTCGTCGCAGTTGTCTTGCCGTCCTGTTTGAAGTCGGTGTTGTCCCGCACGCTCCGGACATAGACCGCGTATCCCGCGGCGCCGGCTGAGGCGGTCCAGCTGAGTTGGACGGTCGTGGGGTCAACATTGGTAACTCCCAGGTTCGTGGGCGGCGCGGGCGCTCCTGCGCCGACGATGACCTCTGGACCAGCCGCCGGCAAGCCTCCCGCAGCATAGGGCTCCCCTGTTACGCTGCTCTTCATATTGACGTAGGTAGCCACCCAAGTTCCGTAGCGGTGCCCGGGTTTCAGCCCGCCGACAAAGAAACTCGTCCCCGTCGCGGCACGTGTATCGATGAAAGCTCCCTCCGTGTCCATGTCCCACACGATGACTCCGTACCGGTTGACGCTGTACCCGGTCACGGCCCCCCAGGAGATCTGGATGCCGTCGCCCCCCGACGGCACTGCCACGATGTTCGGTGGGCCCGGGGAGGTCTGCAAGTCAGCCGTAGCCGTAGTGAGATCCGACCAGCTGGACACGTCATCGTTGTCGCCTCGGGTGCGGACCTGGAACTCCCATGTTTGCCCGTCTATCAGCCATGTGCTCCAGCTGGCCCAAGTGTTGGGGTAGACTTGGCCCTCAGACCACCAATCTGTCATTCCCTGGAGTCGAGAGCGTATATCATAGCCTCGGGCAGTTGGGACCCTATTCCAGGTCGTGTACAAGCCCTCCGGGTGCGAGAATGTTACCACACCAGTCGGTGTGCTGATGACCCTCGGCTCCGGGTTGGTCGGAACCACAAAGTCCGGACCTTGAAATCCAAAGTCGGCCTTGAGGCTGCGAGCAAAAGCCTGTGCGATATGATACTCGCCCATCGAATTAGGATGCAGTCCATCATAGCCGTCAGGACAACCCTGAGGGTGGCAGTTATAGTTAGCGTTGACGTCGACGTAGGCAATGGGGGACTCCCATCGGAACCAGCTTGGGTACTTGTCGCGCAGCAGCTGGTTGTACGTGTTTGTATTGTCAACAAGATCTTGCCGGCCATTGATGAATTTGCGGTGCACGACGTTGCCCAGGAGGATCTTAACGTCTGACTTGCCCTCACGCGCGTTCTCTACTAGTTGCCCCATATTGCCGACCAGGTCTTCAGGGCCGCTAACAAACCAACCCAGGTCGTTGAACCCGAGCAGGATGAGAAGGTAATCTGGCTGGTACGTCTCGACCCAGGCTTTGATGGTCTCCTTGGACTGCGCCACCTGCCGGCCCCACCACGAAGCGTGGTGGGAAGAGGCGAAGAAGTCTGGCACACCATCAGCGTAAAGGCCGATGACTTCATTAATTACTGGTGCAGACTCTCCCGGTAGGAGAGGTGGCTGCGGCAGGGCGGCTTGGGGCACAGTCGGTCCATGTGTGCCGGCCCACGGTCCGACGAAGGTGACCTTGTAGCCCAGATTATCCTGCACTAGAGATGCCGGATCAGATATTAGCCTCGGACAAAACGATGACCTCGGCTAAGGCCGGAAGACAAGCACTCACACCAGGCAAAGATACGCCAACGCCAGGTCCAGTCGGCCTCCATCCCATGCGAGATCGAATCTCCTACCACCATCACCGTGGCACTTGGGTTTGGTGGGGGTGGTTGGACAGTGTAGCCATCGCCGCCGTCCTCCTTGCAGGGGATGGCACAGTCCCCGCCCCAGACGACACCGTTCTTCGAGAACTGGTCCTTGACACCGGAGTCACACAGGCCTTTGCAGTCCTCGCCATGTGAATACTGGCACGCGCTAACATCTCCCTGAGACTCTGCAGTACATTAGAGATCAGGCGGACCATCTATAGCAGACACAATGTCTGAGCCACCCGGAAGGCATCCACTTACGCCATGTATTGAGGACGATGTTATATCCATTGTGGTAGAAGACGTACTGAGGGTTACATATGCCCTCAATGTAGCACTTTTCAGTACCCTGAATGCCGCCCCAGGCGACCTGATCTGTTGCAGTAAACTGGACACTGTATCTGCCGAGAAAGTCGTTTTCGAAGAAGTAGACGGGCGGGTCGGTGGTCTGTGGGTTAATCCAAGCTATGCTAAAATGAGCGTAAAATTAGTGCTCAGTATGGTATGGAAGCATCTGTGACTAGCCTTGGTCCACTTACTTCATGTTAACATTGGTATCGGCGTCCTCGGAACCACGCGCCCAGGTCTGGAAGTTTCCCTCGCTGCCGCTATGTGTCTGGAAATATGTGCGGCAGTGGTCCTTGCTGTGCCAGATGGTGTGGTCTTCTGTCAAAAAGACACTCAATAGGTTTTGTATTATCCCTCCTATAATGTCTGCGCCGGCGCCGACAGCTTCAACGATGGCCGCACCGGCGAGGCCAAAGATGACAAATTGGCGCTTCTGCAATGGGTCGTGCTCATAGTTGGCGAGCTCATCGAGATGCACAAAAACCTTTTTACCGTTCTTCATCTTGCTGAGCGTGTCCGCGTGCTGGGCTCGAAGCTCCGCCAAAACTTTTGGATCGGTGATCTGGCGGCCTCCCAAGGGCGGTTTGTGGGAGGGAGAGGGCATAATGGCCGCCGCAAACGACAGCAAAGCTGTGAGACATGAGAGAACCTTCATCGTGAATCTTGGGGGCTTGTAGCTGCACGCGCGGAAGATGGACTACGAGAGAGACCTGGCGCCGTTTGGGAGCCCGGCGGGATGGTCTTATAAGTTATATCCCGAGGAGCATCAGACGTTCAGACCCCTCCACCTCAATTTCATCGTTTAGGTAGTTTTCGCTTTTGTTGCAATATTAAAATGGCTGCTCGCAGGATCTCGATCCTGGAAAGATACGATTTCCTACCTGTTTTCAACCTGGCAGCTGGGCACCTTCTTACCATACAAACCCCCACGAGCTCAGCCTGGTAACTACTGTAATGGATCTGTGTAGTTCACTGCTTCTCGTCGTCAGCCAATCATGTCTGGTGTTTTCTTGTTGGTAACAGAGCAGTAGAGGGCCGTTCACACCTAAGCACCACTAAGATTGCTTGGCTACACGCCTTAACACTGACCAGTCTAAAGAATGTGAATAGGATTCTCGAACTAAACTTGCCAAGAAGGGCCAAGAAGGCAATATACAAGTTTAGGAGGCGAAGCGGAAACGATGCAGCCCCAGGTAGGTCATGCGGCCGGAGACAAATCAGAGTCTGCCGAGGCACTAACATCGATCACCATGTAACGTCAGGGTTGTTGTGCAGGTGTAGACTGGAATAAGCTTCGGTAGAGTCAACCCTGACTGATCACAGGACAAGGAAGGAAAGGGAAGAGTAACTAGCAAGGGCGAGCAGGGAGGTATGGCTAGTTAGAGAGCAATCTCAGGAAGAGCGAGGTTTGAGAATCGCTTTTGCTACAGAGTATAAGGTAGCCAAATCACCAATGTAGTCCGCTGCGGGAGGGTGACTCACAAGAGAGGAATGGAGGAAAATGGCTCAGCTGAAAAGCAGGGCCGGGCATCTGTCAGACTGTCAGCAATTAGTGTGAAAGGCCAAAAGCAGGGACTGTAACCACACTAAAATATCACCTCGCTTCCAGGGACCAGATGAGGAGATAGTCTACTAGTAGTGTGCTTCCAGGGGCACTTACCAAGTTACCATATTACTAATATTCTAGATATCATCTGATATTGTCCGCCGTACCGAGCTTCTGGAGAGGCTCCATTATTGACACTTCTATTCCACTAGTTGTATTGAGTCGCAAGTCCACGCTATGGATTACAGCAAGAACTCTTTTACAGTAGCATAGTATGTATACTAGTAGACTATATATATAGTTTTACACCTAATAGATTCTTGATTGTTGAGACTTTTGAAGTCTCAAAAAGTGTTGTATGTATGGAATCAAAAGGTGTCCGGCTTAGTAGAGTGTCTGACTCGGTTGTGAATTACATTAGGTATGTAACGGGCGATGCCCGATAGGCGCTTGTTGCGGCTATCACACCACAACTTGACTCCAATCCCGAGACCCGATTGGTGCCCAATGATTAGGCCTCGAAATGGTCCGATTCAGGTTCCAAAGGTCGGAACCTCGAACCTGAACCTGAGGTTCTCTGAGTCGGGTCGCGGGAGATCCTACTTGGCTTTAAACCGCTTCATGGAACTCACTCTGGTCTCAATCTAAGCATGGTTCTTTTCAAGTTACTTTAAAAACACTAAATCACAGACCAAGTTCTTGCAATCACAACTGATAATGCATTAAATAATAGTACTTTGATGTCAAGCATCCAAGAATCTATCCAGTCGCTTAAATGCAGTGATGATACCTCTATTATCCGGGTTCCATGCATCGCGCATGTTATTTAGCTTAGTCTGCAAAAACTGCGTGGGTAAATGAAAGCAATTCCAAAGAATGACATAACTGAAATGCATTGGCTAGAAAGACAGGTTTATTCACTTCACACAAAGCAGCAGAAAGAAGAGATTGTTGATACACTGAATAAGGTTAGATTAATCCCTCTTATACTGGGTACTCACTAACCACCAGTATAGGTCCAAAGCTTAGCTGTCTTCATTAATGCAAGTCCTCAACGCCGGGAGTTGTTCTATAATCTGCAGTCAGAATCACCAAAGCTTTTGCCAATCCAGGATGTCAGGACACGCTGGAATTCAACATTTTTGATGCTTCGACGTGCAAAACGCCTGCAATCTACATTCAATCAATTCTACTCTAAATATGGTCATCCACATCTGATGCTGGACCAAGAAGAGTGGCGCCAAATTAAGTACCTTCTTTGGATTACTCAACCCTTTTTCAAATTTACAACTGCGCTTTCAAAAACGAAAGATGTTACCATTCATCTTATCTTCAGCATCTATAATAAACTGTTTGACCATCTTAAAAAATCAATCCAACAGCTTCAACGAAAAAAAGTGCCATGGAAAACATTAATGTTAAGTGCTCTGCATGCTGCGAAGGAGAAGCTTCCCTATTATTATGGCAAGACAGATGAGATTCCTGGTGATCTCTTTGTAATTAGCATAATTCTTGCACCACAGTATAAGCTTCAATTCTTTACAGGCAAAGACTGGGATAATGAAAGCCATAACTGGCGCGACAGATACCATCAAAGTTTGGAAGATTACCTTAAGCCATATCAACAACGTCTATCAAAGGACCAAATAACATCCCAGACTCAAGTATCAACAGGACTGAGCTCAGAGTTTAAGATTGAGATGCTACTTGCGCTAACAGAGTCTTATCAGTTGACACAGCGTGATGAGCTTACACGGTATCTTGAGAGTGGTAGGTAGTGTTTTAATCTTGAATGACTTCCTGTTAACCTGCTATAATAGGCACTGTTTCTGGCACTCCTATCCATGCCTTCTGGAAAGAGCGACAACATGAATTTCCAGCACTCGCAAGCCTTGCACGCGATGTTCTGTCCATTCCTGCTACTGGTGCGGGCGTAGAGCGTCTATTTAATTCTGCTCGAGACATCTGTTACTATCGTCGCGGCTCACTGAATGCCACAACCATCCAGGAGCTTATGATGTATATGTGTATGTCGAAATTTGAGCTTGAGGACGAACAGCTTGCTTTCATCAAGGAGTATCTCTTAACCAGGGAGATAGAAACTGTTAATAAAGAACAGGACGCACAGCTCCTCCAGGATAATCCTGACCCAATCAGTGATAATGAGGAAGATGACATGGTGCCTATCCAGAAGCGGCCGTCCTCTCAGGCAGTTTCCCAGTGTGCGCTCGGCAAAAGACAAAAGAGTGTTCCATCTGAACCTGAAGACGAGGCTCAGGAATCAGCTCCGTCTGATGATAATGAACATCCATTGCCTGATACCCAGCGGCGTGCATCAGCAAGAAGCAGAAAGCGTTTGAGACGCGATGATGATACATTTACATATTATTAGTTGTATAATGAAAAGTATCCCATTCAATTTTGAGCTTCATATATCCTAATCCCGTAGGCTCTATTACAAACCTCATTATCCTCGTAATGATCAGTCTATGTGTAAGACAAATACAGAGAAATACAGCTCAAAGCTGCATAAAATATGCAAGTCACGGGTTCGAGGTGTTTGCAGTGTTTGAAGGCCCGCGGGTTACCCGCCAAGAACCCGCGGGCCCAAGGTCAGAACCCATGCCCGGCCCACGGGCTCGAGGTCAGGCCCAAAACCCGCCAAGAAACGGGTTTTGGGTAGCCCGTCGCGGGTAGCCCGCGGGCTTTGGCGAGGTCTATTTAGGTCTTCGCACCAGGAATCCAGAATTCCTGACTCATTGCGTCCCGGCGCGCTGCTTTCTTCTTTTTCTGTTTCTGGGTAATAACCCACCACGTGGAGAGTGTCAGAACAGTCAACGGCACGGCCACCGCGACGTAGATCCAGAACTGCTTGGAAATACTGAATCCGGACCCTGATTCTCCAAACGAGAAGAGGTTCATTCCAAGGAAGGTCGCTACAAAACTCGCCGGCAGGTAAATCAACGTGACGAGGGTAACAACCCTCACTGTGGCACTGTCGTCGACTGTGTCACTGGTGAGCTTGAGCATTTTGTCGTTGATGCCAAAGGTATCGTTGATTCCAATGGAAGTTACTTGGTTTTGGAGGCTGAATGCAACGGCCAGCTAAATTGGACCTCAGTATTTGCACGGGTAGATCTTTTTGTAGAAGCTTCAAAATTACCTGGTTCAATATTCCCTGGACTTTCTTCTCCAGAAATTCGAGCGTCTTGAGATGCCCCTCCAACGGTGTCCGGTAGTATTTCATCTCCTCGGCCATTCGTTGAAAATCACGATTCGGAATGGCGTCTCTCGCATGAAAGAGGGCATTCGTCTCTTCGAGTCTTGAGATAATTGACAACGTAACCGCTATCCAAGGAGAGATCGATAGAAGCTTATCACCGAGATGTTGCAGCTCCAGCAGCATTGACAGGCCGTATTTATTCCCATCCACCAACGTAAGAGCCATATTGACCTGAATTCATCTCGCATCAATTTATGCCCCCTCCAATTTGTTGATCGGTGAAGCTCACCCACCCTCTTCTCCACCTGCTCCCCCAAACTCCGAATATACCACCTCCAGTTTCCAATATACGATGACAACACAATCGAGTGCAAAGTATACCAGCTTCGATGGATTAGGTCACACCCATCTTGTCGCGCAAGCAACAACTCCGTATCCGTTTGCGCCTTGGATGTCGGTCCTGTATGGAAGAATATCCACAAGTTCGCCTGGCCGGAGGGGTCCAAGCGGTTGAAGACGCAGACTTGACGGTTCGTCTAGGACATGGAGCCTTGGGTGCCGTAGCCTTCGACGTAGGGGAGGAGGTATTGCATATCTGGACTGTTAGGGCCAGAATAATACTAGATGGAAAGGGGGAAGGAGTTACCGTATGAACCATCTTCCCTCTCTTGAACAGTCATGCCTCCCTGACACCGACAGGCTGGCAAGAAACGAGTTCGGAACATCCCGTTAGGTGGATCTGGATCAGGCAGTGACGTTGATGCCGGGGCTGGATCCGGGGCCGAGATGAGCGAGAGCGGAAAATCCAAGAAGTTGAAGCTGAACCCGCCTCCTGGCGCATCTCGTGGAGGTACGCCCCAGGGATCCCGGGCAGCAAGCCCCGTTGCTGGTAGCCGCAGCTTCTCTGGAAGCCGCGCTAGCAGTCCTGAGGGAGCTCGAGGCAAGTCAAATCTGCTGTGATTGATATAGTGCTTGATCCAAGATACTAACTGCTCGGGATTAAACAGGCCAAGGACGAGTATCGACGCCTGGACCCGCTGGAAACACAGCTTTCCCAACACCGGCAGAGATACATGCTGCGATCCCGGCAACTGGCATCATTAGTAGTGATCTTCTCCGTATTTTCCGTCCTCACATTGGTGAATCAAAAGAAAACCACCGTCGGTTTATCGGCATTGTCAAGGATGTTAGTGTTTACGGCAAAGAAGACCGAATGCTTCGACCTGGTCCTTGGAGGGAGACGTGAGATAAGGACGTGCAGTCTGCAGTTTCGAGCAAACAAAATCAAGGACCGCTTATTTGATGCCGGGGTCTTTAGATGTTGCCAATAAACGAATGCTAGCGCCGTTGAGATAACCATCAAGTCCTCGTTTATGCCCTCATCATATGGATTATTCGTCTATGAAAATTCATATCACGTTTACAGATGTACAAGAGGAAGTTTTTTTAAAAAAAATTCTAGATTGAACAACGAAAACTGAGAAACAGTAAGATAAAAGGAAAAGTAAAGAAATAAAGCTCATATACATGCAGTGAAAACAACTCCGCCAAGATTGAGACATGTCACGTCACGACCGAGACAAAACAAGGTCTTTCTATCACGAGAATAATGAACACATTAAGAAGACGAGGGGGAATCACAAGATACATCATTAGGCCGCACGGGCAGTGGTCTCGGTGCCCTCTTCGTACTTCTCCCAGTTGGCCAGGATGGAGGCAATCCGGAGCGAGTTAGTGATACGGTACACATCCTCAAAGTACTCCTTAGTAATCTCGAAGGGGCGAGCAGTGACGTTAGGAATATACTTGCCAGCCAGCTTGCTGGGGTCGATAGTAGTCTTGTTGATCTTCTTCAGCAGGAAGGACCGGAAAGGCTTGACACCGGAGCGCAAGAAGGTGCTGTGGAAAGGCACGTCAATGCCCTTCAGCGGGATAGTGGCGAAACCACGCTCCAGCTGGATGGGCCGCGGCTTGGACTCGGTCTGCTTGACACATTCCTGAATGATGCCCGTCAGATGAGCCTTGACATCCTCAAGCGACATGCTCTGCATCAGAGCGGGAATGTCGATGTTCTGGGCCTTGAGGAAGTTGAGCAGGTTGGTAAGACAGTCGAGAGCACGAAGCTAAAGGAAACAGATTAGTATCCATGATGTAGAGAGTCACGAATTTCTTTCATTCTTTTTTTTTTCTTTTTTCTTTTTCTTTTTCTTTTTTTTTTTTTTAGAAATATGGAGAAAAAAACTTACATCACCAGCAGCCACATACTGCATGTTGGCCACATTGTAGTTGACAATCTCCAGAAGCCAGCCAGTTTGCTCTGAAATGTTCTCCACAACGTACTGCAGGGCCTGCTCGTTGAAAGTCTTGGAGATACGGCTTGGGTTAACGGCACACATAGAGTAGTTTGAACGACCTTGTTCGTCACGCTCGACAGCGACCTGCATGGTCAAACCACGGTAGAACACGACGGAGACCAAGCTCTCAATGTGCATGACATCAGCCAGAGCAGCCAGGGCCGAGTATTCACCAAGAGAGTGACCAGCGAAGCTGCTGTCACGTTACACCAGACCCCTGGAGCGCATACCCTCGAAGCTGGCCTTCTCCATCAGAGTCAGAGCCGGCTGAGTGAACTGGGTGGCAGAGAGCAAGCCGGTAGGAGACCGGTAAGTGTATGAGTCTGTGGTTTCGTCAATGCCCTTGAAAATTTTCTCGGACTTGATCGAACCATCAGCGTTCACGGACTCAAAGGTCATAGCCATGTAGTTCTGACGGATGGCCCTGCCCTGAGGGCCGCCAAAGTAGACAGCAACCGCCTGAGAGGTGATGGTCTCACGGCCACCGCTGAAGATAGCAGTGGTGGGGGTGTCGAAGGGGACATCCTTGTTACCAAACCAGATACGGTAGTTTGCGGTCTCCCATGACCTCAGGAATGGGAGCATATCCGGTCTCCGGGTGGTAGGTGAAGAGGAAGGTCAAGGGGACAACACCGCCCTCAGCAGTGCGACCTTCAAACAGAGTCAGACTAATTTGATCGTTCTCGTTCATCTTGGCCACAACGGTCTTCACTAGCTTGCCAGACTGGTAGGGCTCACGAACGCTGATGACAGACTTGGCGGGATCATTAGGGTTGGTAATCTACGAACAGGCCGGCGGTGGGCGCCACAATCCGCTTCAGCGGGTTGGTCTGGAAACGGTGGCCCTGAACAAAGACATCGGCCAAGAAAAGAGCATGACGCCAGGAGTAGGAATCGCCAGCCAGAAGACGTAGCCAGCGGTCAAGGTCGGGCAAGTCGGCGGAGGAAGACGAAAGTCGGAAGCTGACCTTGTTGGCCTCCTCGGAAATGGTGAGTCCCTCTAATTCAGGCTCGTCCTCGACGCTGATCAGATTGCCGCCAAAGTACTCGATCACAGGAATCTTGGTCTTGTCACCGCCGTAGACATCCCGCAGCAGACCGGCAATGTGACCGTTGTGAATGCCATCGAGAATGTCTTTAACAGGCTCATCAATGACGTTGGAGAAACGAGCAGCCATAGGACCCTGAAGAATACAGGTAGGACCGACATCCTGATCGACCACAGCCTCCAAGTCTTCACTCTGCCACAGAGAGTCCTTCTTGAAGAAGTACTCAAAGTTTTCGTCAAGCGAGGGAACGAACGGAACAGGCTTCTGCCCACGACGCTGGCATAGCAGGAGAAAGTGCTGGACATCCTGCGCGTTGATCAATTGGGTCGCAGCCTCCGGGTACGCAGCCAGGATGTTTTCCACTGCCGGATAAGGCGTATTAAGCTCGGAGTAGTTTTGGAGCAACGAAGCTAACCCATCAGCGGTAGTGAAACGCTCTTCAACACGGCGAATGAAGTCGCCAGTAAGACGCTTAAGCGAGTCATCAATCCAGCGGGACTCATGCTTGATGTACATAAGCTCGACCATCCGGTGAACGACCTCGGCATAGGTCATGTCCTCCAAGTTCCACAGTCTCACCTGCAGCGTTGCGACCAAACCAGACCTTGTGGAAGTCATCGTTCAGTTTCTTAATGATGTAGTTGCGCTGCTTCTTGAGCTCGGGAACCCGCTTGGCCTTGTCGAGCTTGAAGATCTTCTGATCCATTTCCTGCCAGAACAAGACACCACGAGTAGCCAGCTTGTGAATAGGTTCACCCATTTCGGATAGAACAGTGATCACACCACCGGTGGCACTCTTGTAGGTCTTCTCCCACTCGAAATCGTCAACGCCAGGGGCATCTGCAATGGCTTTTTTGGCATTCTTAGAAGTGTGGGCTTCCTTAGCAACCATCATACGGCTACCGAACAGGCATCCGTCAAAGGGCATGGCAGGGTAACCGAACTTCGCGGACCAGGTACCAGAGAGATATGGGTAGGTATCCTCGGAGCCACCGAAGCCACTACCGGCAACAAGGACAATGTTGTCCTGCTTGCGGATGCGGCTGTACATCTGGAGAATAGGCTGGTGGAAGTCCTCGAACGAGTGGTGGCCACCACCACGGCCACCGGTCCACTGCATGATAATGGGGAACTTCGGATTGGCTTTGGCGATGTTGATGACCTGCTGGATGGCGTCAACCGAGCCAGGCTTGAAAGCAATATGCTTAATACCAAGAGTCTCAATATACTCATTGGCGACCTCGATAGAAGGCACACCGGCACCGATGGTGAGACCCTCGATGGGCACGCCATCAGCACGGAGGCGGCCGATGAGGGGAATTTGCCAGGCCATGGCGCGCGGGTTGACGTAGATCAGATTGACCGTAATACCACGGCCGGGGGGAATAGCCTTCTCGATCTTGGTGATAGCCTCAGTCATTGTCTTCGCGTTATAGTAACCACCACCAGCCAGCTCAATGTGATAGCCAGCATTCATAGTAGCGGCCACAAAGTCCCATGGGACGGTGGTGGTGGTCATGCCTGCTACCATAACGGGAGGGATGCCAAGCAGGCGACTCATCTTGGTGTCGACGTAAGTCTGACCGGTGGAAGTCTGCACGAGACGGGGGCCGTGTTCCTTGACCCAGTCTACGGCATACTTCACAGAGTGCTCGTCACGGTCAAACAGCTCCGGTTTGTAGCCCACCTCGGCATTGGTGCCGTCCATTTCACCAGCGAGAATGACACGCACACCGGTACCGTCCTTGTCGCGGTTAGTGAGGACACCGAGGCCGGAGATACCACCGGGGCCAAAGTCCACAATGTGCGTGGCTCCAGGGAAAATAGTGGCTTGCTCCCAGTTGACCGCGTCGTGGGTAATCATGCGGATCAGGGAGGGAACGGCACTCTCATCGCCCAGCTGGCGCAGGTCCTCACCGGTCTTGGTGTGGAAGACGGGAATTACCAGGGACTTGGCGGGGATATCAATATCCTCCAAATCCTCCAGAATCCGGTCGTAGGCTGAGGTGAGATATTGGCTGTGGAAGGGAGCGGTGATAGGCAGGAAGCGGTTGACAAACCGAACCTTACGCTGAGTGAAGGGAACACGGGTTTGATCCAGACCGGTAGGGGCCTTGACTTTGCGCAAACGCAGGTTCAAACCGTAGAGGGAGATCGGAGGACCAGTCACCACAAAGTTGCGGGCACTGTTGACCAGAGAAATAGCGATGTGGCGATCCTCTGGCAGGTGCTAGTTGGTGGCATCAATATGCTCCTGGACCGCAGCCCGGGAGAGGTCTCGAATGGAAAGCATAGGAGTCGGGGCGCCTTCGCCATTCTCGATCGAGTCCTGGAGCACTGAGGGCGCGATGGAGGTGCGGGGGTAGGCCTGCTGGCTACGCAGACCAATCCAGAACAGCATAGTCAGGGCGTTCTTGGCTGCGTTGGCAAAGGACTCCCAACTAGTGGCCGTCGCAATGGCAGCGGCGGTCACCACACCCTGTGAGTGACCGGTGGTACCCCGAATGCGCTCGAGAAGGTCACCGGGCTGGCGGCCCAACACCTTGCAGGTCACGGTGTAGTGGGCGAGCTGGACCAATCCAATCAATGGCAGACTGACAGGGGCCGAGACCAAGTAATCGGTATTGGGCTGAGAATCACGATTCTGGAGCCATTTCATGACATCCAGACCCTTGGGATAAAGCTTGCTCGCCTCCGGTTCCCGCGAGAGCGACTCCAAGAGCTCAGCAGAGGAAATTATCAGGTCCTCTACGAATGAGGGGTAGGTGGTGTAGACGGCACGGAGCTCGTCAAAGTATTCCTCGATGTTGCCTTGACCACCAAAAACAGTGTAGATGCCCGCGGCGTCCTCAGAGGCCGCACGGAACAGAGCCGAGTCATAGGGGCTTGGTGGGCCATCCTGCGGCAGCACGTCCGGCATAATAGGCCTCCACGACGCGGTGCTTTTTGTTAACAATGCCTGGCAGTGCGGCGGCGGCCACCGCGTGCACATCGTTGCCCCGCATAAAGGCCCGCTCAAACTCATTTAGAATGAGCTTCAGCACTTCCAAGTAGCTGCCCTGGGCAGCGTCCTCCCCCTCTTCCACTTCATGAGCCACATGACCGATGTAGCGGGCGACCAATTCGGCCACTGAGGAGGGCTCGTCATCCAGAGCCAATTCATCGGTGGGCTCGGGTAATGAAGCCGTGAACCCGTCTTTCAACTGCGAGGCATGGAAATGAAGCGAGGTTGGGACAAGGAAGGAGAATTCGAGGGAGCCATGTGAGAGTATAAGAGGGCGCAGCGATTGAGAGGATCGAGGAGTATTGATACCGGTCTGAGGACCGGTGGATGTGCCGTACATGATGCAGTCCGTTTCTTTCTGTCTTTCTTTTTTTTTTTTTTTTTTTTTTCTTTCGTCTCTCGGTTCTTTTCGTAAGATTGTAGTTGATTCCCGCAAAGAAACCCAACTGGAACTCACGGACACTTGGGGGGAATTCTGTAGGTGGGTTGCATGAGTTTCGGGGAAGATTTCTCTTGTGCAGAGAAAAACAAAAAGTCGAGGCAGAGCAACTTACAAGTCCGGACCCCGAAGAAAAAAAAGAGGATATGAAGATTAAATAATGAAACGCGGATCCCCAATGAACTCAGAGAAAAAAAAAGAAGAAAAGAGATCAAGCAGGACTAATAATGAGAGGGATTGAGGGGAAGAGAAGAGCTTCATGATAGAGATATGGAGATTGGTATCTGTGTCTGTAACTTGGGATGAAACCAAAAAAACCAACCAACCAACCAAAACCGCCAAACTTTCACTGGTGAACTGCAACCGGCCCGAAATAGTTTAGGGCGGTGACGGTCCCAATCGTGGTTCAACAGTCGGTAATCTAGTCACAGTGGTCCGCAGTGGATCCCCCACAAATGGAATTGTCTATGCTGACTGGCTCAACTACATAGTAGTCCGTACGGATACCCACATACTGTAATTCGAGAGAATCCTTCAAGCGGGGGCATGTAATTGAAATTCGGCATGAGTTTCAAATGAGATTCACGAAATTAACTGAGGCGGCAGGCATTGTTCGAATGTGTGCTTTTCTCCGCACGGGCAGTCGCTTCTGTGTCGCGGCTTTGATTCTCGATTCTGATTGGTCGAGCCAGTATTTCGTCGATCAGAGGATTGACCTTTGAATGTCGCAAAGATTGCATTTTGTTCTTTCTGGCTCTTTGATTCCCATCGTTTTCGATAATCATTAATCTCGTCAAACACATCGATCGAGCGATCCTTCTTCAGTTCGTTTAGTCGGATCTCGCATACATTGGTTCTATCTTACACAGCGCCATCAAGAAGTTCTGCGTTCCAAGATAGCCGGTATATTTATTCATCTTCAGTCGCACACATGCTGAAATGACATCTTCCCATTCTCCTAGCCATTTCTCCATGTTCTGACTTGCTGGCTTCGATCCTAGCTTGCTGTATCTCTCCTGGATACGCAGCATACGATCTTCAACTGAAGGTTTCAGTTTATCTCGGAGCTTCCGATAGATATCCCCTTCATTATCGTTTTCATCTGTAAGTCGCTGCAGATGCTTATAGCATCAAGTACGAGATGGATGTTTCGATGGTATTCTAGACATGCCTAATTTGGTTAGCGGTAATTTATATCAACAGGTGAGAATAATGGCATGGCCGCATGAGTCAGGGGAACGGATTGCTTCCCGTCAAACCCGGTCACCGCGTGCTCTCCATCCAGAGGGATTGTTGGTATCCCAAATTGCTAAGATAGGTTAATAGCAAGGGTAGTGTTCATACAGGCATATGCATTTGCTCCGGAATCGATCAATGATTGCGTAGATATGGAAAGTCCATTACTCATAAGGTGCGATTCCATTAAGAAGCTATCTTCTTCGCGACCTAGGAGGTTCCGCAGATCTAAGCTACAGAGATCGATCCTTCCTTCGCCCAGGAAGGAGACTTCTCCTAGGCATTGTCGTTTTCCGTCACTAAGGCATCTTCTGCTGGCTTCTCCAGCACCTTGAGTTGTGCAGTCTGTTTAGTGGGGCAGTTGCGACTGATATGTCCCACCTGGAAGCACTTAAAGCACTTCCCTTCCACCATCAAACGCTTCTTGGTATCTTCGTCGAGGTTGCTTGGGGTCGGCGATGCGGTAGTAGTACGATCACGGGTTCTAGTGGCATCCAATGAGCTGGAGGAGGAAGAAGCGGGGGTTCCAGCCCGAGAGGAGGACGATCCAATTCCCTTCGCACGTGCTCCAGTTCCTCCACTCAGGCGAGAGCGGATACGCTCCATGTTTTCGATATTGGTGGCGGTCCGATTGCAATAATCGGTAAACTCTCTGAAGGTCTTGTCATCGTCGTTATAGGCGGGCATCGTGAGTTCCTGCATGCGTAATGTGAGCTTATTGTAGAGGTCATCTTTCCAGGTGCTCTCGGGGACTCCAGCTTCAGCCGCAAGATAAAGAAATTCGGACAGGAAATCATTCTACTTCGAGGTGGGCCTCATGAAAAGGGTGTTGTATTTTTGCTTCGCTACCCTCTCACGGTTAGGGTCGCCGAACACATTTTCGAGGTGCGCTAGAATGTCTGCGGCATCCTGGTATGGGTTAGGGGCGTCATCCCTAAGACGGGGAGTTATGTGCTTTCTGGCGCTTCCTTCCGTCCGGCTGGTCATGTAGGTAATCCGGAGAATAGGACTATGGTAATGGTCGGCGTTGGCGTTCAATTTCTGCTTGATTGCTAGCAACCAGTCTTCGAACCGGGGGTCCTTTCCATCACCAAGAAGCGGAGGGTCTGGGATTTTCGCGGACTTACCACTGGCGGCCGAGGCCTGGGAACCAGTGTTTCCATTTCCATACCTACGGGCTAGTTGTAGAGCAAATCCGTCTCTTTCGCGGGCGACTTCTTCTAGCTTCCTTTGGGCTTCGTTGCGTGCAAGATTTGCCGCTTGAAGTTGCTCAATGGTCTGATCGCGTTCAATGGTGATGGATTCCTTCTGGTCACGGAGAGTATCAATATCGTTCTGCATCTCGACCAACCGCTCATTGAGGAGGGTGGCTTCATCTCGATACCGGTCAGCCTTCGCGTCCAAGTCTGTGTAAATCTGGGATATAGCACGCCAACAGCGCGCAGGGTCTACGTTCCAATGCTTAGCAAATTCTTCGTAAGAGATGCCTTCGGCTACGTCATTTGATTCTCCGTTAAACCCTCCGTCCTCTACCTGGTTCAAAAGGAGGGTCAGGCGTCGGGAGAATCTAGGGGCAGAAAGGTCGAGGGAGAGGTGTCACGTGTGACGATTTAACCGTCACAGTCATGCTCGGGCATGCTGTGAGGGCAGCGGGGAGTGATTGATGAATAAAACCAATCATATTTAAGCAAACCAAAAAAAGGGTCTTGGCCTATTTTGATTGGCCAAGAATACCAGCACAGGAAGCTTTCTAGAGACGTCGCTCGGGTGTAGAAAGGTCTGTGCGCTCCATCCCCCACTAGACAGACAGGATTTGACTTCCACCTTATAAAGTTATAATAAGTGGGCTTCAGCACAATACTGTACAAAAACAAATAGTTTCATGTGGATGACTTTCAATTATCCCTTGTATACAAAACCCGTCGCCTGCTGTCCTATTCACCAGTTTTGCTGCGTTCCTACTGAAAGGAGCTTTCCGACTTTTTCGGCTATCCCCACCACTCGGAGTTGCTTTCCCCGCACAACAAGAAGATAGCCGAACAAAGCAGAGCAAGAAGGTTAAATACATGGTGCTTGGCTGCTTGATCGGAGCAAGCATTTAATCCGCTCACGGGGGCTTGCAGAAATTACTACATAGATTTCACTTTATTTCGATATTGACAGACACTGAAGAAGTTCACTCTGTCATCATGGTATTTTCGAAGAAAAGAAGCCGTTCTTTGGAGAAGAGCGAGGTGAGCCCGGCAAAACGTCAACGCAAATCGACCATATTCCATCCCACTGTGCGACCTCCTCAGATAGCTGGTCGGCTGTTGGTGGCTTCATGCGGTGTTTCTTAATCAAATGGGCACTGACTTCTTTTGGCCATACGCCGTGTTGACATTCCCGACAAACAATGTTCGGGAACTTGCGCAGTCGATGGAAAATTCGGTCGGCACTAGTTTCATTTGGTTGATCCATGATCACAAGTTCAAAACTAATATGCTGTTGATGGAATGATGCTTAGGAAGTTCTCAGCACCTTTAGTAGTGATTAATTTTGACCCCTGAGTCACACTACAGTGCTTACTGAAAATAGCTAGTGATTTGTGCCAGTTGGTAATCCTCAATCAATTGGGTGCTGGCCCGAAAACCACAAGGGCCGGGGGCCGGGCAGACCGTAAAAAAGCTACTCCCGGTGCCAAAGGGAAAGAACCGCTGGCAGTGGACCACGCGGTCCGCCAGGCGGGTGCGTGCCCGGGCCCGGGCCTGCACTGACGGGCGCCCCCGCCCACAGTGCCCATCCCGCTCCCGATGCTTCTAGCTGCGATGGCCCTGCAGAGTCTGGGCGGTCCGGCAAACATAGGGGCAGTGTGGGCAGCCATAGCCTTGGTAGACGGGCAGCCCCTCCACGGGAAGCCCCCCGGGGGGTGGGAGCGGACCGGCCTCCTGGCTGGGGTCGATCCAGGGCCGCTTCAGCATCTCCGTCAGGGCGGCCTGGCGGAGGGCCGCCATGGCCGCCGTGGGATGGGAGCGGTGACGGTCGCGGAGGTGATGGATCAGGGTCCCGGGAGAGACGGCATACTGGCAGCGGCGGTCTGTGCAGATCCAGACCTGATAGGTTGGGTTGTAGATGAAAAGGTCCATAATTCAGAAATTACCACTATGGGATTGATTTTATGTGGATTCATTCTACAGGAGAAGGAGGAAAAAAAAAGAGAGAGAGAGAGAGAGAGAATGAACCTCCCTCCCACCCGCGATGTATACGACGCGCCTGACGCGAGTCTTTCGTGGAAGAAAAGAAGCAATTATTCGGATCCATGTCAGCCTGGATGCCGAGCGCGACCAAACAGCAGGCAGACCGACGGGTGGGCGCCGGTAGCGGACACTCGCAGCGGGCGACGGGAGCACACACGTGTGGATCCGTTCCGGCCAATCCGGGGGCGGGACAAATCGAATGGACCCCCGCTCGACCCAGGTACTAGGGTATAGAGATTAGAAAAGAAGAGAGGATAGAAAATATGAACAAAAAACTCAATCATCCGGTAAAAATCCGGTAACAGTAACCGCCCCAGATGGATAACCAAAGGCTATAAGACTATTATTGACAGCAGAGCAACTAGGATGGCGATATTCAAAGGGAAGCCATAGTACTTTCGCGTCTTTAAAGATCACCCAACCCCTATCTACAGACAACCGAATCGAGATATGGTGTGTAACTGGATGAATATCAAAAGAACCCCAGTTGGTATTTAGGTATACACCTTGTCGGGAAAAGTTCAAGTAATAAACTGGGTTCTGTATAGGCAATGACTGGAGTTCTGCTCCTGTGGCAGCATCCCAGAGTCGGACAGTGTCATCATCAGAGCCAGAGGCTACTGTGCGGCCGTCTGGAGAGAAGGCCACAGTGTTCACAGAACCAGCATGGCCTTCAAGCGTGTGGAGTTCTGCTCCTGTGGCGGCATCCCAGAGTCGGACAGTGTCATCATAAGAGCCAGAGGCTACTGTGCGGCCGTCTGGAGAGAAGGCCACAGTGTTCACGAAATCAAAATGGCCTTCAAGAGTGTGGAGTTCTGCTCCTGTGGCGACATCCCAGAGTCGGACAGTCTTATCATCAGAGCCAGAGGCTACTGTGCGGCCGTCTGGAGAGAAGGCCACAGTTTTCACAGAATAAGAATGGCCCTTAGGAGTGTGGAGTTCTGCTCCTGTGGCGGCATCCCAGAGTCGGACAGTGTCATCATAAGAGCCAGAGACTACTGAGCGGCCGTCTGGAGAGAAGGCCACAGTGTTCACAGGACCAGGATGGCCCTTAAGAGTGTGGAGTTCTGCTCCTGTGGCGGCATCCCAGAGTCGGACAGTCTTATCACCAGAGCCAGAGACTACTGTGCGGCCGTCTGGAGAGAAGGCCACAGTTTTCACAAAATCAAAATGGCCCTTAAGAGTGTGGAGTTCTGTTCCTGTGGCGGCATCCCAGAGTCGGATAGTGTCATCACCAGAGCCAGAGGCTACTGTGCGGCCATCTGGAGAGAAGGCCACAGTGTTCACGAAATCAAAATGGCCCTTAGGAGTGTGGAGTTCTGCTCCTGTGGCGGCATCCCAGAGTCGGATAGTGTCATCACCAGAGCCAGAGGCTACTGTGCGGCCGTCTGGAGAGAAGGCCACAGTGTTCACAGGACCAGAATGGCCCTTAAAAGTGTGGAGTTCTGCTCCTGTGGCGGCATCCCAGAGTCGGATAGTCTCATCACCAGAGCCAGAGACTACTGTGCGGCCGTCTGGAGAGAAGGCCACAGTGTTCACAAAATCAAAATGGCCCTTAAGAGTGTGGAGTTCTGCTCCTGTGGCGGCATCCCAGAGTCGGACAGTCTTATCATTAGAGCCAGAGACTACTGTGCGGCCGTCTGGAGAGAAGGCCACAACATTCACAGGACCAGAATGGCCCTTAAAAGTGTGGAGTTCTGCTCCTGTGGCGGCATCCCAGAGTCCGACAGTGTCATCACCAGAGCCAGAGGCTACTGTGCGGTCGTCTGGAGAGAAGGCCACAGTGTTCACAGAACCACAATGGCCTTCAAGAGTGTGGAGTTCTGCTCCTGTGGCGGCATCCCAGAGTCGGACAGTGTCATCACCAGAGCCAGAGGCTACTGTGCGGCCATCTGGAGAGAAGGCCACAGTGTTCACGAAATCAAAATGGCCTTCAAGAGTGTGGAGTTCTGCTCCTGTGGCGACATCCCAGAGTCGGACAGTCTTATCATCAGAGCCAGAGGCTACTGTGCGGCCGTCTGGAGAGAAGGCCATAGTTTTCACAGAATAAGAATGGCCTTCAAGAGTGTGGAGTTCTGCTCCTATGGCGGCATCCCAGAGTCGGACAGTGTCATCACCAGAGCCAGAGGCTACTGTGCGGCCATCTGGAGAGAAGGCCACAGTGTTCACGAAATCAAAATGGCCTTCAAGAGTGTGGAGTTCTGCTCCTGTGGCGACATCCCAGAGTCGGACAGTCTTATCATCAGAGCCAGAGGCTACTGTGCGGCCGTCTGGAGAGAAGGCCATAGTTTTCACAGAATAAGAATGGCCTTCAAGAGTGTGGAGTTCTGCTCCTATGGCGGCATCCCAGAGTCGGACAGTGTCATCACCAGAGCCAGAGGCTACTGTGCGGCCATCTGGAGAGAAGGCCACAGTGTTCACGAAATCAAAATGGCCTTCAAGAGTGTGGAGTTCTGCTCCTGTGGCGGCATCCCAGAGTCGGACAGTGTCATCATCAGAGCCTGAAGCTACTGTGCGGCCGTCTGAAGAAAAAGCTACAGTGCTCACGGAATCAAAATGGCCCTCAAGGGTTTGCAATTCAGCGCCCCATTCGTCCCGTACCTGTGGTAGAGTGGATATTATTTTCGGAATCTCATTCTCAAACATCCTTCTAATGATTGACCTTTTGGGCGCAAAAACCAGTCCAGAACGATATGCCTGAAGTGGTGCAGTATCAAAAATATGTATGTTTTTGAGGAGGAACCGTTTCGCATCGAGTAGAAATGCTGACAATCCAGAAGCTATCTTGTACCACATGTTCTAGCATTAGTATCTTTGCTATAGATCTTGTTTGTGGCCACTTACATTCAGGGTTGACTGCAGTGTGTTTAACATACCAACAGCCTCTGATATGAACCCCATTAAACTTATTCCTTCCAACCAGTGAAGGAAATGTTTTTCCAGAAATGAGAAGATGTCTTCCTCAGAGATATGACCTTTGCTTTGCTCCACATGATATGCCCAGTAACGACAAGAGTACTGTAGGTCTGTTGTCAAGCTCTGGCTATTGATCTCTGCACGTTGCGTTCCATAACTAGGTAGATCACATATATTGTGTTTGAGACAGCCCCTCATGACACGAAGGCAATGAGAAGCTATCTTCCCATGCATCTCTTTCTCATACACGCGAAACTCACTTTCTGTGTTCACAAGGTAATCTCGAAATGATAAATGCAGAGTTCTGACCGGAAGATCCGGATCTTCTGGTACATTGAGGACGGAGCGAAATGACTCCAATCGTGCTTTTATGGTGGCTTGCTTTCGGCCAATAAATGTCGTCAGTGCATTGACTGATAGAGGCCTGGCAAGAAGGACAACAACACCAATGATTTCGTGAAACTCTTGTTTTAGCTTGTTTGACTCAGTCTCATTCCGACCTGTCAAGATCTGGTTTAATATCGTCATGTATGTTCTGTCCATCTCAGAAGCGGATTTCGTAGCTGGGTCTGCGAGAAATTCGTTAAGGCGTTCTCCAGGGTGCCACTTTAAATCTTCGAGGAAACGGCAGACAGTAGCTGCAAAGATGAACAAAGGAACAGCAATTTTAACCAGCGCCTGAATGTTGTCTTTTCCCGGCCACTCAGGAGGGAGAGAACGCTCTTTTTGAATATTCTTGAATTTGTATTCCAAGAACAAGCGGATGTCATGCTCTATTACTGGCCTGGGAATCTCATGCAGTATGAAGTCTCGACGGTCCTTACTGTCAATGTTCCTGAAACCTAAAACTGTAGGCAATTCAGGCCGACTCGTTAAAAAAAAGCGTAAATCCAATACCTTGGACTGCTTCACCTGTGGCAACAGCCGTAACAAAGCCCGGATATCATTTGTTCGTTCGCACTCATCAAGGGCATCAACAACAATCACCATATATGGCCTTTGTCGTCTTAATTCCCTCAGACTGAGTAGTGGTTGAAGCAGAAGTTTCTCGAACTGATCGTCAAGCTTTTTCTCCAAGATACTAGGGTCCTCATCAAAAGTGTTTTTAACAGCTGTTATTAATTCAGGAACCCTAGTGAGTAACTGCCTTGTAATAGTTGGAAAAAAATTTTTTGCATTGGCGCGGTCGCCTGCACCTCTCTTGAAGAAAAAGCTTGCTGCGAGAACACCCTCCCTCTGAAATGAAGCGGCAACTGTTCGCGAGATTGTAGATTTTCCTGTCCCAGCCATACCATTCAACCAGAAAATGCGCTGACTCTGAGGGGAAATGCCCCACTCAGCAACTTCCTGTAGGAGCTCCGTTCTGGTTCCAGTAAGGCATTCGCCCTCATCCTCATCCATGTAGGAGTCGAAGAAAGCTCCTTCTGTGGAATGAAGCTTTTCCAGAATAGCATTTTGGTTTATATCATTGATGACGTTATGAGTAAGGCTTTGTATTATTAGCCTAATGTATATCTGTAAATTTAATGAGTTTATCCTACCTCTGGGCTTCTTGGATGTCCTTTATTCCTGCAGACAAGCCTTTCACTCCTTCAATCAATTCTCTCATACTTCTCGCCTCTTCCACATCCTGACCATCAACTCTGCAGAGAAGGGCCTTGCAATAGGCCGCCGCAGCAGCCGCAGCATAATAATGCCATCCATCTTGTTTATGGGTGTCGGCGTAGTCACATATTCCTCGGACCACTAGGCATGGAATCTCATCCATAATGCCAGCTGCCTCCATTTCAAAGCAAATTGCAGTATCATAACCCCGACGTAACCGGTCCCGATCTTCGGGGTTTTTGATAACCCCATTGCCTGAAAGAATAAGACCTCGATGAACCACGGGCTGCCGATGCTGGCGTCTAGGTCGTGGTATAAGCTTCTTTTCACTGGATGCCTCACATCCGCTGCAATCAGCCCCCTTATCAACATGATGAAAGCCTGAGTCAAAGAGAACATCATCTACACCAGGCCATGCAAATTCAGGATTCTTGGTGATCTGTTTCAAAATCTTTCGAAGTGGCTTTTTCTTCATCATGTCATCTTCTTCCAGCGATCCATCTGCATTGATGAGTATCGATGGAGGTTTATCAAGAGATCCTTTTCGAACAAATCCATCTTGCTCGTATTTGCCAAAGTCATACTGTATGACCCCAGGATGATCATCTTTAGGGATGCTGACCGCGATATCTCCCAGTCGGATATCACGCTTTGGGAGATTCGGAATACCGGCTCCAATTCCGACCATCAAGGCAAATCGAACATTTGGGAATTGTTGGCTGACAGCTGTTGCACATTGCGCGGACTTCACAGGCCCCATTTCATTGGCTCGGGCGATGACAATATAATGGTCCTTAATGCGCCCGAAAGAGTACACATATTTCTTCGGCCCTATGCTTTTCAGACGACAAGTGTATGCTTCATCCAGACTGTATTTAACTGCGACGGTCTCGTACGGCAGAGCACAGAAGATTGCTATTGTGATACTCTCAGAGGATATCTCTTTGAGTTCCTCAGAACTGGGTTCTTCGCCTGTACTGTCCGCTTGAGGGGAAACCAGAGGTTTTCTTTGTCGTTTAGCAACTCCATCCTTGGACAGGGATGGTTTGTGTTTTCTATCAGGCATGATGTAGAGATCTCAGCGAATGGAATAAATCGAGTCGTAGGGCATAAAAAGAGGACGGCGAGAGGAAATGGTGAGAGAGGATGGTGAGAGAGGATGGTGAGAGGAGATGGTGAGAGGAGATGGTGAGAGAGGCTGAGAGGAAATTGGGCAACTCAGTATTTTGCTTTTTTTAGAGAACCCCCGCTTCTCGCTCACCCTGGCTGGAGTCCCTCAGCCTCACTGACCGCAGCTTTGGATGGATCAATACCTCATCATCCCGTTTACGCAGCCCACAGGTAATTACTAGTACATAGACCTAGGCAGGTGTTCCGGGTAACCCAACTGAAACATGTATCAAACCCAACTTGGGCTGGGTTTTGGGCTCAAGGGGGGTGTTCTGAGTTGGGTTCTGGGCTTTTGTATAGAACCCAACTGGGTTTTAGGTAACCCAGTTGGGTAGACAAACCAGACAAACATTCTAGATCATGTGATATGCATTAATTATGTAGTCCCGTCTTATATTTATAGGTAACTAGTATTTTTATATAATTACCTAAGCAGAAGGGATAGAACCTAGAAGTAACTAATATCAGGTTACAGGTCAGGTGCCGGGTCAGAAAAGCCAAGACGCCGCCCTAGTCAAGCACATGACTGATTTTGCCGCTTTCGGCATTAACAATACCAGGTTTTAATTACCCGGCATCTAACATTTACGAAATCATAACGATATTGAAAGAAACAACAACTACTTCTTAAGTGCTTTCTAACTGATTATAGCATTTTGTTCCAACTCTTTTTCTTCGTTTTGTAGCTGCTTTGCCTGGTTTTGCAGCTGTTTTTCTCGTATTTCTTCTTCTTTGTCCTTCAATCGAAGCTCAAGCTCACGAAGCTCTAAGGCTTGTCATTGTTGCTCAATGTTCAGTATATTTTGTGAGGAGATCCGACGAAGACCTTGAGAGGTAGATGACACGGAACTAGTGAAGAACCAGTTAATAACCAGTTGATAGCTGATTAGAATTACGCTTACCCTGAAACCCGTGATTAGGATCGAGATCTTCGAGGTTGTAATTCTTGTTGAGAATCAACTGATAAATGAGCTGAAGATGAGCGACGACGCTTCCGTGATTCTAAGTGATTTGAAATAATTAATGAAGAATGCCACAATGATTAAAATGCTGATATATTTTCTCACCCTCCCGTGCCGTATGGCGCAAATAATTAACTTCCATATTTGCTGTTCGATATGAATGATGAATTCCAAAACGAGTCCGATTTATATATTGAAGAACGTCCTGTTTGTCAAGCTTTGCAGAACTATAAGAATGTTATTAGGAAGCACCTAAAACTGGTTAGAAACTAGTTTTCAATTACTTACTTCTGAATTGCTGTTACTAATGTTAATCGTTTGCCTGCTGCATTAGCCTTATGATGAGACTGTTCAGCAGAGTTAGTATGATTCCGAATAGAATCATAAATAGAGGAAGGGATATTAGAGCAGCATTTATTAAGGCCAGCTTTAATAACTGGTTGCCTTTTATGCTCTGCCTAGGTCTGCACCTTCAGTTCTTCGTGTGCTGAAGCAGTTAATAACTGATTATCAACCAGTTGAGAAGTACTTACTGATTAATAGATCACACAATTGATCATAATCTCCTTCGGACTTGCAGTCAATCAAACCAGCCATTCGACTCCATATTCCTGATCCTTTATTATTGTTCCCAACTGCTTCTGTGATTGTTCGAAGGAAGTGAACACAGCAAAAGATAATGATTCCCTTTAATTGCCAGAGAATTGGGCGGTGGAGAGGGTCAATCTCTTGAAGAAAGCGTCTAAGGCCTAAGCAGTTAGCAAGTACTTTGCAAGTATTTTATAGCCAGTCACTCACCAGTATACTGTTTTGTATCCATATCCACAATGATTCCGTATATTCCAGTAGAATGTATAGAATTAAACTTGACTGGCTCGCCAGTGATTTTCTGGATCAGAGAGAATACTCTTCTGAATAAAAGATAATAGCCATCTGTCGTTTCTTGATTTATGAAGACTTGAAAAAGGGTGATAACTTTTATGACTACTCAGTACTCCGCCAGGGTGTAATAATCATCATGAAGTACTTACTTTTTCCATGTTCACGCAGATAAGTTGCAAATATAACCTCATTTGTTTCCTTTTCT